CAGCTAGCATCAGCTCCACTCCCAAACCAGGAAAAAAAATAAAAAATAAACATTTTTTTACCCATAAATTGCATACCCAGTCGGCATAATTCATCAACAAAAGGAGATCAAAGAAATTAAAATCAAACACCCAAAAAGAAAGATAATTGGACTGAAAAAATTTAAGGAAATAATGGTAACAGATATAAAAACTAAATTCTGAACTTTTACCGGAACAAAACACACCTCTAAACCTACCCAAAAAAAAAAAAAAAAAACACACAACTCTAATCTGTGCAGCTAGCATCAGCTCAACCCCAACCCAAAAGAAGAAGGAACCCCCGAAAAAAAAAATTAATAACACATTCTTACCCATTAATTGTATACCCAATCGGCACAATTCAACAACAAATGGAATTTACAACACAAAACCCAAAACAAAATGATCCAAATTTAATACGAAGAAAAACATCAAATAATGAGATTCGAGTGAAATTGGATCCCAAATAGATCGAAATTATGATTTACCTCAACTTGAAGAAACCGATCTGAGGGAACTACGGATTGGATTTGGCTTCTCCAAGGGAGTTACACTTCCCGTGTGTGTGTGTGTGTATATATATATATATATATTTATTTATTTATAAGCTGTTTGACCATCCTAGTAATAGTAGGAAAAGAAGTTGCCAATCAGTTAATTTCCTAATCACATAACAAAAAAAAAATATATTATATAAATAACTTCTAACTAATACAATTAAGGACACAAATTAAAAATAAATAAAAATACATGATTTTGTAAAATGACAAAAAAAAGATACAAGTTAAACAAATCCTAAACTAACACAATTAAGGAAACAAGTTAAATTTTTTTATAAATACATGATTTTGTAAAATAACAAAAAAGGATACAAGTTAAAATAATCTCTCTCAGTTCTCTTATCTCTCTCTTCAATTAGGTGTTGGCATCTGCTAACCTGCGCCAAACACCATTGCTTGTCCATTTATAGATGGAGTTTCAATAGCAGCAAGGTACCCGAATATGAAAATACCTTAAACAGACGCAAAATTTCAATTTCCCAAATTGAGCATTACTTCATTTATTTAAGATAAGACATGTATATGAGAACTCATTCCTGATTTTCTTTCATAGATCAAACAAACTTGAAATGCACCTTCTCAAAGATAGAAGGTGCTTGCAAAGTTGGATCAGTGAATGAGGTTGCAGGAGTACATGTGAGGGTGTAAACGTCCAAGTGGTTAAGATTAAAATTGTACTTTTCAAAAGTGAGTAAGGTTTATTTGGACATTTTACAATAAGAAATGGTAATTTTGATATATTTTTTTTTTTTCAAATTAGTTGACTTTTGACATGCCTAACAGTCAACTAACAAAGGAGATATGAGGGCAAAGTTTACCAAACTTGAAGGGAGGTTCCCTTTCTTTTTCACTGGTTTAATCTATTAGCAATTTTTGACAGTCAACTAACAAAGGAGATATGAGGGCAAAGTTTACCAAACTTGAAGGGAGGTTCCCCTTTCTTCTTCACTGGTTTAATCTATTAGCAATTTTTGACAAACGTGAAGGGAGTTAAGAGTACTTCACCTTTAAACGTAATAACTTTAAAATTAGTCAAGTGACCATAAAGTTTCAAAAAGTCGTTTAGTGACTATTTGAGAATAAATTTTATTAATACCTTTTTATTGACAAACATCACATAATAATTATCTTCTCTTATCTATTTTTGGGAACAAATCCTTGATACTCAATCATTATACAAATTCTATAAAAATAAGTGTTCATTTTATAAATCTCTCTAAAATGTATCAAACTCAAAAAAAAAAAAAAAAAAAATCTTCTCCTCCTTTGGATCCATACTGTTTTTCTCTCTCTCTACAGTTTCTTCTTCTGTTCTCACGAGAATAGCTATTGATAAGTAAGGCTGCAAATGAACTGAGTTGTTCATGAACAACTCGGGCTCGACTTGCTAAGAGTTTGGCTGGACTCATTCGTTAAGAAAATGAGCCGAGCTCAAGCCCAATTTCTAGGCTCGTTTAGTAAACAAGCCGAGCCCAAAAAAAGTTAAGCGCTCATATGGGCTCGTGAATATGAACTCATTTAGGCTCGTGAATAAGGCTTGTTTATTAGCCATTTATAAATTTTTGATCCAGCCCATAAATGTGAGTCCATTACAATTATACATGATAGGCCCAGTTGAAAACTATTACTACAATCTAAATAACAAAGCCCAATAAAAATGGCACATATTTATTTTAAAGACCCAACCCATTTATGTTAACAAACAAACCTTATTCTACTTTCATTCTCTACCACGAACCAAGCATAGGCGACAGCGGCAGCGGCAACGCCTCTCATCTTCTCTATTCTCTTCTTTCCTTCTCTGCAACGATTCTTCTTTCACCGACTGCCCTTCAATGTTTCATTTTCTCAGGACAACAATGGAAGACTAATGAAAAAAATTGCTAATTGTAAATGATTTCAAATAACCTGAAGAGGTATATATATATATATATATGGGTTAAGTGCAGAAAACACTCCTGAAGTATACTCTGAGTAACACTTTTACCCCATATTTGAAAAAGTGTGCAATAAACACCCTTAATCTTTTGAAATTGTGTAAAATTACACCTATGTGCAATAAACACCCCTAAATTATTGTTGTAATACCCATTTTGTCCTTTTAGTCTTCCGAAAATACCCAACCTTCTATCTCTACTCTCTGCCGCCAGTTCCTCTCACCACCATCGACTTCGACTTCTTCTTCTTCTTCTTCTTCAACCACCACTTGATGGTACAGCCTCCTCCTCCTCCTCACACCATAATTCACTCCTTAACTCCACCCATCAATCTCATCCAAATATATATACACACATACATGTATATATCTATCTATATATATACACACACATCAATCTCATCCATTATATATATATAAATATACACACTTACATATATACATATTTATACACAGACATATATATACACCCATCAATCTCACACACACACACACACACACACACACACACACACACACATATATATACACGGCGACTGCTCCGGTGGTATCGATGGTTTACGGGTTGTGGATTGGAGGTGGCGGTGGCCTGATCTCGATGCCAAGATTGCGAACCCAGGATAATGGGTCTGTGAAATGGAATCAAGATCCACTCTCTTCGCCTTCTACAATAGGCCTGTGAACTCAAAATTATTTCAAACCCAGAACTCAAACAACAAGCAATATCAGCAACTTTTCTGCTTAGCCACTAACGTGCAATTTTCAGTTTGAAACTCTAGAATTGCAATAAACTTGCAATTATGAATCAGTGTGAACAATTAAAGCTTGAGAAACTATAATTATAAGAACAATTAAGTGAAATTGGTCGTATTCAACGTTTAAGATCGCATTAAAGATACCCAATTCGCACGTGACGGCAAGCCGAAGAAGATGTAGGCGATGACGCAGAGCCTCGGAGAGCAGATTCGACGGCGACTACACAGCCGACGGCGATGATGCAGATTCGACGACGACTACACAGCCGTAGATTCAACGGCGTTGAATTTCGGCGTTTGGTGCTCGCATTGGCAACTCACAGCTCTTGCAGAGAACTTAAAATCGAACAAGTTCTCGAGTCTCGTCGGTGTTCATGGTCGCCGGAGTTGCTTTGTCGATTGGGTCTCTCCCACTGTTTATATATATATTAAAGCTCACCAGTCACCACCTTCATATGGGTTTGGTGAGATTTTTAGTTTCAAATTTGCAAATGGATTGGACTATGTTTTGATTGCAATTGGGTTAGTTGGTGCCTTTATCCATGGTTGTTCTTTGCCTCTGGCGGATGTAATTGGGGCGAGGCGGCAATGGCCGATTCCTCCGCTGATCTCCTTCTCTCCAAGGGTCGTGACGCCTTCAATTACCCAAACCATCACCCACACCCTTAAATTTTTTTTAGTGTTAACGTATATTGTTAATTTTTCTCCTATGCTCTGCTCTCAACAAAGCTCAATTCAAGCAATTGAGTCAATCCAATTTCATACCTATAATCGACATTCCTTCCTCTGCCATCTCATCGCCGCCATCCTCATCGTCATCTCGATGCCTCACCCAAACCAAATTGCAAAATGGGTGTACAAAACAAAGACGTCACTATTTATTGTCCATTTTAGTCTTTTTAGAAAATTTTGTATTTTTATATATTTTATAAAATTGTTGACTAAGGGTACTTTAGTCCAGTTTTATTTTAAATGTGCTAGAGGGACTTGATTGCACCAAATTGAAACTTGAGGAGTATTTTTTGCACTGAAAGGATATGATATGCACTTTAAGCATAGTTGAAGGGTGTTTTCTGCACTTGACCCATATATATATATATATAGATCTATAACTCAACACATTGATATATATGATATATTTGTGTTATATTTAAACACTAATCTGTTTTGTATTATATATACTTATATATGTACGTGCTGTGTATATTGGCATTGTTTATCTCTGTGTCATATATATATATATATATATATGTGTGTGTGTGTGTGTGTTTGTGCGCGCGCACGTAGACGAGCCCTTCTGACGAGCCGAGCTCGAGCTTGGCTATTTTTGGCTCGCCAGGGCGCCTCCCTAATTGTGGCGAGCCTAGCCCGAGCATGCCAAGGCTTAGGTCGGTATATTTGCAGCTCTATTGATAAGTTCTAAATTTTATTTTACTTATTTATTTATTATTTTTTTTTGGGAGGGGGGGGGGGGTGTTTGTATTTCCCATTCCAACCCTTCTTTCCCTTTCTTCTTGGCTGTGTTCAAACTTAAAAACACAAAATAATTATATACTTGTTATTGGCAAATACATAAAATTATTTGACAAAAGTACCCTCAAATGGTCCTTTAAGAGCCATATAATTATGATATTACTAACTATTTATTTTTTTGTAACTTTATGTTCACTTTACTGCTATTATCTTTGATTTTAGTCACTAAACTATAATTTTTCTTTTATTTTCTTTTTCTAGTTGACAACCACTCCCAAAATCAATGCCACAACGGAAATACCAGAGCCACCACCTCCATCATAATTGACGACACCACCACCACCACCGGCAGCCCGGTACCACCACAATTGACGACAGCACCCCGCCACGACTATTGGCAATGCCACTACCATCACCCAACCACTCCAATTGAAGTCACTTTAAAGCAATTTTATTTTAGTTTGATTACTTAAAATCTAATTTTTATATTATTTTTTTATTCAGAGGAGCTCATCTGTACAAACAGCTTACTCCAGCAACCTTCTCGAGAATGTTTTCTGCTTCCACGTTTCCCAAATGACAACAATGCACTTAAAAAACCAAAGCTCAGATAATGCAATATAAATTGGAATCTCAAATTTGTATGGTATTAGAAGTCCTAAATAACAAAATGGTTTTTTACTTTGATTTAATTATATAAATAAAATAATTACGTATGAATTGACAATTATTAGTTAGCTCTAAAATGTCTTCCAAACTCTTATTTTAAAATATTAAATTACACCTCTCAAATAAAATAATTCCAAGAACCTCACAAAGAATGTTTTAAGAAATATATGCACCAATAAGTCACATAAGATTTGATAGTTTTAAAGAGTGTTTAGTGTCTTATTCGGCCAAAAAGATTTGTGTCAACCTTTAATCCCCAACCCTTCAATTAGGCATTTAAATGAATAATTCATTTGCATCAACCAAACGTTTTACAATTTTGAGAGGCAAACTGAATATATATAGAGAGAGAGATAGCATAAATATGCTTAGTCACCCTACCATGGTGCTTGTTGAAATGGATTTTATTTTCGTTGCCTCGGGACAAAAAAACAATGACAGTGAAGGAGCGTTGTGAAAAGATGGGTTAATAGTCTACTTGAATTTGGATGCAAGTACAAAGTGAATGAAACCATTTGTCTTAACGCATATGTAACTATTTTATTTAATTCAACCAAAAACAAAAATAAACTGTTAAAAAAATCAATTTATTATTTAGGCTTCATAAATTGCTAAAATACAAATTATTGTTAATGCACCTATTTTGTTTAATACAATCAAAGAAAAAAATAAGTTGTTAAAATAGACCAATTTGTTATTTATGCTTCCTAAATCAATGTAAGCTAAGCCCGGGAAGAGTTCAAAACTAGTGTAAACGGGGCAAAGAAGGGCGCCAAGGAGGTTCGAAGTAAGGATCTAATCTATCGTTTGCCATGACAGTTCCCTTTCCATGATACTGAATTCGTTCCACTCTTCGAGTCTCAAAATCATAGCAAAATATCACGCTTCCCCGCCGGAGATACACCAGTTTTGAATTCCGAGGACGAAACGCATTCAGACTTGGATATTTTTTGTAATACCCCGATAATTTTAAAAGATTTATTAATTAGGATTAATTATTTTATTTTATTTTTCAATGATTTATTTTATTTTATTGAGTGCTAGATTAATTATCTTATTTTAATTAAGTTATATTTCGTGATTATGTATGATGATTGATTGTTTGTGTGGTTGATTATTGATTGAATTATTGGTGTGTTGATTTTATTGGTATTATATGACTTAGTTGTAAATTCTTGTTTGTTTATGTGCTTCATGTAATTAGTTATTTTAATTTTTGTATTTAATTAATTATCTTATTTATTTAAATTAATTGGATTGGGCTTAAGGAAAGTTGGACCAAAAGATGTGGTCTTGGGCTTGTATGAAACCTTATTGGGTTAATTAATGAAGGTCCGTGATTATTTAATTATTTAAATGATCACTTTTGTATCAATTATATTTATATATATATATATATATATATATATATAATTATATATAAATATAATTAATTAATAATTGTTATGGAAAGATATATATATAGATATATATTTATTGATATTTATAAGTATATATGATTTAATTAACTAATGAGTTAATTATGGAAGGAATATATATTTATATATAATATATGTTTATAGATATAAATTATTTAAAAGTTATTATTTTAATTCATAATACTAGTTGGAATAGGATTTGGAATTTAAGGTGTATAAAAATACACATAAAACTTTAGGGTTAAAGGTTTTACACGTTAGAAAAATAAAACAGAGAGAGAGAGAGAGATGAAGAAGAAGGGCTGACAAGGAGGAGGTCGGATCTGAAAAGGAGGACGTCGGAATTGGAAGAGATAATTAAAGCTTAAAGCGTCGGTTTCGTTTCGAAACCTTCAGGCGAGTTTTCTCTAACTTTCCTCTTAGAACTCATAAGGATTTCACCTTGAGTATCAAGGCTTTAATTAAATTTATTTGTTTAAAAATTATGGTTAGATCGGAATAATTAAAAAGTATAAACTATTATATTTGATTTTTAGATTATTGGATTTTAATTGATATATATAGGTGTTATGTATATTTTAAAATCAATCTATAGGTGGATTTGTGACCCAAGAGAGTTAATTATGGTTTCTTTATTTTCTAGAATTGTTCTGTAATTTTCTGGAATTTTTATGATATTTTTAGGAATTTATTAGGATTTATTTTCCTATTATTTGTTAGGATATATATATATATATATATATATACACTAGGTAACTGGCGCATGTGGAGCGGCGGCACAATAAAGAATTGATCCAGTGCGGCGCGGTGTAGGATAATAGGGTGTATACGCCAATTAGGGCCATTTGATTAATTAAACTTATGTGAATTGATATGGTGCATCGCGGCGCATAAAACTTTGGTGTGCATGTGTATCTGGACAATAGAAGTGGTCTGGTCAACTATGGGATTATTTGGTGTATTGCAGACCATGAGAAGATGGTGCACTCGCTGATCTGGACCTTAGATCTATTATAGTTAATAGAAAATAATCTAGTGTGAGCGTGTTCATTTGCGCACTCATTTATGACCATTGGATGCGGCATAAAGGAAGTGATGGATTCAGTGTGGTGAGCTCACGGTAGCTGAAAGAGCTTAGCCAATACCAGCACACAAGGAGGCTTGAATCCAGCGCGTGCAAGTGCATAGTAAGCACGTGGGCGCGCGTGGGTAACTATGTTGGCCTAATTCGACACTAGAAATTAAAACGGTCATAACTTGTCATTTTAAATCGAAATTGGGTCATTCTTGAGCTCAAATTCAAGGATTTTTCGTCTTCTTTCCAATGGTACCAATTACATTATCAGATTCCCATCCTACTAGGAGATATTTATGTTTTAGTGAAAAAGTGTCGGAAAACTATTTAAACCAATATGGAGTATTTAAAGGAAACTATTTCTGACATATTTAGTTGCACTAATTTGTGTAAATATAATAAATTAATAAATTGTTATGGAAGGAAGTGTATATATATATATATTCATCCTTCCATACAACTCATATATATATATATATATATATATAATTATTTATATATGGGTATATATAGTTTAACTTGTCTATGAGTTGTAAGGAAGGATGAATATATATATAACTCATAGACAAGTTAAACTATATATACCCATATATAAATAATTATATATATATATATATATATATGTATGTATGTATGTATATTGATTTTAAATAATCAAGGATTATTAAAGAAGGTGTTAAACACATATATACATTAAATAACATATGTGTAGGTATATATATATATATATAAATCATTTAAGATGATTAATATTATCATTCTTATTTGGCATATCTTAATAGGCTGGTTGTTAAATTAATGATATGCGTATAATATGCATGTGATGGCTATGTATGATTTAGCGTATTGTTAATTTTAAAGTTAATTCATGGTTAAAGTGTGGGCATGGATGAATTGTCAAATGATTAAATATATTACCTAAATATTTGTATGAATAGAATACATATATGAAAAGCATGGATGAATTGCTAATTAAATGTATGAATAAATATACCTGTGGAGGCATGGTTGAATTGTCAATGTATAAATATACATACACGGAGGCATGGTTGAATTGCCAATGTATAAATAAATATACTTATGGAGGCATGGTTGAATTGCCAATATATAAATAAAAATATTTACAATGGCATGGTTGATTTGCCAAAGCATAATTACGTTGTTATGTGTTAGATGATTAAAATATCATCTATGGTTGTTGTATGTATGGATTGGATTAGGGTTAGATATTCTTAAATGAGAATAGTTTAGTACTTACTGGTTAGTGTATTATTTTACATTAATAAAATAATATTGGGGAAGACGTGGATGATTTGTCAAAACTTGGATTTTGGATATGTGATTTAAACAATTTAAATCATTATCGGGTTGGGATTAAATAGAGTATTTCTTTTATTATAATTTGTTGTTTAAATGATTAGACAACTGACTAGGATGGGATTAAGGTCAAAGGAGTTTTTATAAAATGAAATGGTAGATTGGTCTAGGTATGAATATTATTTTAATAATTATTTAATAGGTATGGAAATTTAATAAACCTATTAATGGATGTGATTAGTATAGTATATATATTTATATATAGACATGTATATCGTGCTTTATTAAAGTTAAAACTTTATTAGGTTTGGTTTTGATCAGAGATGATCTGCTTATTGGTTTTCAGAGGCCTGGTAGAGTGAACTTGCTCGTAGGGTTTAACCCACGATTTATTTTTCAAGTTATTAGAGGTTCCAGTCTCGAGGTTGAGGATCCGCAGCTGGGAGACTGTCATTCGTCTATTCATCTTGTATACTTTTAAATAGTATTGGATTATTGGATAATGTTTTAAGGAGTCCTTGAGTTATGGGATTTCCGAATTGTAATTGTTGGAGAATCATTAAGTAATATTTATTTATTAGTTTTCTTCAGCGGTTTATTTATTCTTTATTATTCATCTTTGTATTCTGTGCTTGTTAAATACTTTAATTGTTTTGATATCCTCTGGTTTTGTGCGCGGACTTGATCAACCCGTGTTCCGAAATCAGGGGGTATCACAGTTGGTATCAGAGCACTCCAGGTTCAAGTGTCCCTAGGGTGTCTTTCGTTGTGTGACTTCCGCGTTGTGTACTCTTTTACTTAGAGCTTAAGTTTAGGATTCATTGTATTCTATATTCGGTCCGTTAGTGTGTCCTAATGGTAAATCATTGAGTCTTATCAGGAAAATGGTAAGACATCGATTTAGAAGGTATTGGTAAATCGTTGAGTCTTCCCCTAATTTTGAAGTATGGGTTTTATGGATTTATGCACCAATAAAATAATATGGAGGTATTTTAGGGACGGATTAACGGAATAGTTAAGTCCTACCTATTTATTTATGAATGGTATGGTTTAATACACCGGTATGGGACAGTGGTATTTCAGGGACGGATTAACCAAAGAAGTTAAGTCCTACCTATATATTTATAAGGGAACGGATTAACCATAGCGTTAAGTCCTACTTATTCGTGTCAGGTTAACGGAATAGTTGGATGGTATGCCATTGAAATAATATGGTTGGATAGTTTACTTTTATGTGGATATAATGGATTATATATATATATATATATATACATACATACACACACACATATATGGGCCATGATATAAGCTTGAGTCTCAGGATCAGTGGTTAGGATGGAGGCGTATATTGCCGATTGAGATGGGTAGCTGGGTTTAAGGATGTGTGGGCTCTGGTAGAAGGAGGACTCGTAACCACCTTTGTGTGCGTTTTACATGAGATACCCACTATCCGGTTGAAACTGCTTTAGTCCAGTGAGAGTCTCTAGTGTGTACTTATATTTATCAATTATATAAATATGGAATTAGCTAATTACGTGATGTGTCTGCTAATAATGAATATGTGTGGATGGGTTAATTTCCACACGGATAAAAGGAATAATGAAATTTGAAATTAAATAATCAAAGTTTTATTTCATGGATTTGTGAATTCCGAGGACGGAATTCCGTTTGTTAGGGGGGAAGAATGTAATACCCCGATAATTTTAAAAGATTTATTAATTAGGATTAATTATTTTATTTTATTTTTCAATGATTTATTTTATTTTATTGAGTGCTAGATTAATTATCTTATTTTAATTAAGTTATATTTCGTGATTATGTATGATGATTGATTGTTTGTGTGGTTGATTATTGATTGAATTATTGGTGTGTTGATTTTATTGGTATTATATGACTTAGTTGTAAATTCTTGTTTGTTTATGTGCTTCATGTAATTAGTTATTTTAATTTCTGTATTTAATTAATTATCTTATTTATTTAAATTAATTGGATTGGGCTTAAGGAAAGTTGGACCAAAAGATGTGGTCTTGGGCTTGTATGAAACCTTATTGGGTTAATTAATGAAGGTCCGTGGTTATTTAATTATTTAAATGATCACTTTTGTATCAATTATATTTATATATATATATATATATATATATAATTATATATAAATATAATTAATTAATAATTGTTATGGAAAGATATATATATAGATATATATTTATTGATATTTATAAGTATATATGATTTAATTAACTAATGAGTTAATTATGGAAGGAATATATATTTATATATAATATATGTTTATAGATATAAATTATTTAAAGGTTATTATTTTAATTCATAATACTAGTTGGAATAGGATTTGGAATTTAAGGTGTATAAAAATACACATAAAACTTTAGGGTTAAAGGTTTTACACGTTAGAAAAATAAAACAGAGAGAGAGAGAGAGGAAGAAGAAGGGCTGACAAGGAGGAGGTCGGATCTGAAAAGGAGGACGTCGGAATTGGAAGAGATAATTAAAGCTTAAAGCGTCGGTTTCGTTTCGAAACCTTCAGGCGAGTTTTCTCTAACTTTCCTCTTAGAACTCATAAGGATTTCACCTTGAGTATCAAGGCTTTAATTAAATTTATTTGTTTAAAAATTATGGTTAGATCGGAATAATTAAAAAGTATAAACTATTATATTTGATTTTTAGATTATTGGATTTTAATTGATATATATAGGTGTTATGTATATTTTAAAATCAATCTATAGGTGGATTTGTGACCCAAGAGAGTTAATTATGGTTTCTTTATTTTCTAGAATTGTTCTGTAATTTTCTGGAATTTTTCTGATATTTTTAGGAATTTATTAGGATTTATTTTCCTATTATTTGTTAGGATATATATATATATATATATATATATATATATACTAGGTAACTGGCGCATGTGGAGCGGCGGCACAATAAAGAATTGATCCAGTGCGGCGCGGTGTAGGATAATAGGGTGTATACGCCAATTAGGGCCATTTGATTAATTAAACTTATGTGAATTGATATGGTGCATCGCGGCGCATAAAACTTTGGTGTGCATGTGTATCTGGACAATAGAAGTGGTCTGGTCAACTATGGGATTATTTGGTGTATTGCAGACCATGAGAAGATGGTGCACTCGCTGATCTGGACCTTAGATCTATTATAGTTAATAGAAAATAATCTAGTGTGAGCGTGTTCATTTGCGCACTCATTTATGACCATTGGATGCGGCATAAAGGAAGTGATGGATTCAGTGTGGTGAGCTCACGGTAGCTGAAAGAGCTTAGCCAATACCAGTACACAAGGAGGCTTGAATCCAGCGCGTGCAAGTGCATAGTAAGCACGTGGGCGCGCGTAGGTAACTATGTTGGCCTAATTCGACACTAGAAATTAAAACGGTCATAACTTAGTCATTTTAAATCGAAATTGGGTCATTCTTGAACTCAAATTCAAGGATTTTTCGTCTTCTTTCCAATGGTACCAATTTCATTATCAGATTCCCATCCTACTAGGAGATATTTATGTTTTAGTGAGAAAGTGTCGGAAAACTATTTAAACCAATATGGAGTATTTAAAGGAAACTATTTCTGACATATTTAGTTGCACTAATTTGTGTAAATATAATAAATTAATAATTTGTTATGGAAGGAAGTGTGTGTATATATATATATATATATATATATATATATATGTATGTATGTATGTATGTATGTATGTATATTGATTTTAAATAATCAAGGATTATTAAAGAAGGTGTTAAACACATATATACATTAAATAACATATGTGTAGGTATATATATATATAAATCATTTAAGATGATTAATATTATCATTCTTATTTGGCATATCTTAATAGGCTGGTTGTTAAATTAATGATATGCGTATAATATGCATGTGATGGCTATGTATGATTTAGCGTATTGTTAATTTTAAAGTTAATTCATGGTTAAAGTGTGGACATGGATGAATTGTCAAATGATTAAATATATTACCTAAATATTTGTATGAATAGAATACATATATGGAAAGCATGGATGAATTGCTAATTAAATGTATGAATAAATATACCTGTGGAGGCATGGTTGAATTGCCAATGTATAAATATACATACACGGAGGCATGGTTGAATTGCCAATGTATAAATAAATATACTTATGGAGGCATGGTTGAATTGCCAATATATAAATAAAAATATTTACAATGGCATGGTTGATTTGCCAAAGCATAATTACGTTGTTATGTGTTAGATGATTAAAATATCATCTATGGTTGTTGTATGTATGGATTGGATTAGGGTTAGATATTCTTAAATGAGAATAGTTTAGTACTTACTGGTTAGTGTATTATTTTACATTAATAAAATAATATTGGGGAAGACGTGGATGATTTGTCAAAACTTGGATTTTGGATATGTGATTTAAACAATTTAAATCATTATCGGGTTGGGATTAAATAGAGTATTTCTTTTATTATAATTTGTTGTTTAAATGATTAGACAACTGACTAGGATGGGATTAAGGTCAAAGGAGTTTTTATAAAATGAAATGGTAGATTGGTCTAGGTATGAATATTATTTTAATAATTATTTAATAGGTATGGAAATTTAATAAACCTATTAATGGATGTGATTAGTATAGTATATATATTTATATATAGACATGTATATCGTGCTTTATTAAAGTTAAAACTTTATTAGGTTTGGTTTTGATCAGAGATGATCTGCTTATTGGTTTTCAGAGGCCTGGTAGAGTGAACTTGCTCGTAGGGTTTAACCCACGATTTATTTTTCAGGTTATTAGAGGTTCCAGTCTCGAGGTTGAGGATCCGCAGCTGGGAGACTGTCATTCGTCTATTCATCTTGTGTACTTTTAAATAGTATTGGATTATTGGATAATGTTTTAAGGAGTCCTTGAGTTATGGGATTTCCGAATTGTAATTGTTGGAGAATCATTAAGTAATATTTATTTATTAGTTTTCTTCAGCGGTTTATTTATTCTTTATTATTCATCTTTGTATTCTGTGCTTATTAAATACTTTAATTGTTTTGATATCCTCTGGTTTTGTGCGCGGACTTGATCAACCCGTGTTCCGAAATTAGGGGTATCACATTTTTTAAGCTGACGAATGTAAGGATCACCACCAGTGGTGCGATAGTTAATGATGTTCAACATCTTGTAACCCACAACTTCCTCCAGCATCCATTCACTGCTTGGTATAGTGTGACATAAACTATAACTAGAAAGCTTCTTTTTGAGATCCCAGACTATGAATTGATCTCTGTCATCTATGGCAAACCGTACACAACCATCCGGTGATTGTCCCAATATAAAATTCATAAATGGCTGATGCTCTTTCTTGGTGCAACGAGCAGGCAACCTTATCAACCAGAGACGATTTTCCCCCATGTTGGGATCATAAGCGATGAAATGACCACCAACTTTCCAGTAGAAGATCCCAACTATTGATTGACCTCCATACGACTTCCCAAGTGAAAATTCAGATGGAGAAGTGAGAAATGATTCACTCCATTCGCCTGTTCGAGAAGAGAAAGTTTCTATATGTAATCTGTCATATGTGGCTGGCTCCTCTTTCTCAAAGAAAGCTGCAATTACTTTGAAATGTACCACACCATCTTTGCTGCATTCTTCACACGACAAATTCACAAAGGATAGACCGTGTCCATTGTTTGGTGTAGGAAGAGCAAACCATTGGTTTCTGATGGGATTACAAACGAAGTAATTGAAACCCTGGAACGTTTCTAAATTGCATAGTATTAGGCCTTCAGGAGAACTATCTATAACTAAATAGTTTTCAATGTAATCCAACTTTGTAACTTTCCTTTCTTTACAATTTCGAAGGAATGAAAGCTTAAGTATTGACTGATCATTGGTGAGAGTAACCCGAAAGAATCCCAACAATGGGGGAGGAGAATTCTTTCTCTGGGACTGGTAATTGATGCAGAAAATAGGATCAGAGATCAAACGGTTCCATGTCTTGGATACACACTTGAACTTGAAGACGGAGTGTAGAGGCAATCGAAGCAAAATCTCATTTACAAGGTCATCGCACTGTGACACGACTTCCACACTGCTAAAGCTGCTGCTGCTTCTGTACTGGTTCATTCTCCTGGAAATTAATGTGAGATTGTCAATTGAGAAAATAGAATAGGAGAGATATCCAAAAGGAGATCAATAAAAAATAAAAATAAAAACATATAAGAAATTAAAATCATACAATGTGACAGGCAAAAAAAATTGAATTAAAAAATAAATATAAAAAAAAAAAAGTAATTGTAACAGATAGAGAAACTAAACTCAAAATTCTGAACTTGTACCAAAATCAGCATAACTCTAATCCTAGCATCAGCTCAACTCCCAAATCAGAAAAAATTAAAAATTGAAAAAAAAAAAAAAAAAACATATTTTTTTACCCATAAATAGCATACCCAGTCGGCGATTCATCAACAAAAGGAGATCAAAGAATTTAAAATCAAACACCCAAAAAGAAAGATAATTGGACTAAAAAAATTAATGAAGTAATGGCAACAAATATAAAAACTAAAAACTAAGGCTCAGAGTAAAATATTTTTTTATTTAGGTAAAATTTTATATTTATTCTTACGTCCAAAGTCTAGGTAGATGTTGAGATTAGAAATAACATAACTTCCTGAAAATTATCAAAAATTAATAATAAATTATTTTTGTTAAATTTTAATTCTTTTTTCCTTCCTAAAATACAACAAAATTTACACTAAAAAAACGATTCTAACTTTTACCGGAACAAAACACAAGTCTAATCTGTGCAGCATCAGCTCAACCCCAACCCAAAAACAAAAAACAATTTTACCCATTAATTGCATACCCAATCGGCACAATTCAACAACAAAAGGAATTTACACCACAAAACCCAAAACAAAATAATCCAAATTTTAGACCAAGAAAAACATCAAATAATGAGTTTCGAGTGAAATTGGATCCCAATAGATCGAAATTATTATTTACCAGAACTTGTTAGAGAAAACTATGGGTTGGCTTTGGCTTCTCCGAGCGAGCTACACTTACAAGGGAAGAGAAGAAGGGAGCAGCTTTCTAGGGCTCAAAAGAGGAGAGAATAGAAACGTACGTAGTTTTTTTTGTATGGGATATATATATATAGAAAAGCTGTTTGACCATCCTGATAATAGTAGGAAAAGAAATTGCTAAATTCTAACTTTCCTAATCAGATTAAAAAAAAAATAGGGTAAATTACATTTACCTCCTCTCTAGTTAGCTAAAAGCTCAAACAACTCCTCTCAATTATTCAAAATATCATTTGCCTCCCTTAAAACAAACTTTCGTCAATTAATTGATGATGTCAGCAATCTAAAACTACAGAAAGCCCATATTGCCCTCCAAATATATATGAAGACCATTTTGCCCAAATAATATGCTCACGCCTAAATGAAGCACACATTTCCTTCCATTTTTCACGTCACATCGAACTGGTTCATTTCCCTTCATTTTCTCTCTATATATTATATTGAATATTTTCTATATTTGATGATTTGTATTGTATTAGAGATTTTCTATTAATATATTGATTATTTATATTGATTATTTGTCCTATTTAATTTGTTTACAGATGGAATCATCTCAGTTGAATTTGCCTAACTTGCAAAAAATTAAGATTGCCACATATGACAAATCAATAAAATTAGATCAACTTGTTATAAGTTAAAACAAAAACATAAAATAGTAAAAATTCTTAATAAAAATTCACAAGAAGAGAAGTAAAACCAAAAATATAATAAAAATTCATAATTAATAGTGAACATAATTTTCACTACATAATTAATAAAAGACCCAACAGGTTCTATATTGTCATTACATAACTTCATTTCACCAGGAAAAAAAAAAAAAAAAAAGTCACTTGCATCCCCCAAAAAAACATTGTACCACATCATTTGCAATTTCTTGTATCACAACACAAAAAACCTGGGTTTAAGAGCTACACATCAGTACTTAGCATTCATCTACAAAGTTTATAAATAAACAAGATATTTGCAAATGGAACTGTAATTAATTGATTTGGCTTGAGGAGCTTGCACCATGACCAACATTGCTACCCATCGTTGAATGTGTCATTCCCCTGCTAACTATCCTTCCATGGAAAGATCCTACACAGATTCCCTTCCCTCTCTGTCCTAGTAGTTTGTTAACCGTTCCAACCTATGCATGCATAATAGAAATGATGATTAGTTATTTTTTAATACAAGAAGAAAAAGAAAAAGAAAAACATACATGTTCGTTGACATTATTAACTCCCTTTCCTGCAGAAGATGTTGATGGAACTGGTGTTGCCTGACTCGGACTTCCCATTCCTTTCCCTCTCTGTATATGATTCATTTAATTGAAGTTTATTGTAAGCTGAATATATATATATATATATATATATATATATATATATATACAAGTATTTTTTTTATAAAAAAAAAAAAAAAAACACCAAGATTGTACCAGCTGAATATATATACAACTATTTAAAAAAAAAAAAAAAAATTATTCACAAAAGAAAACACCAAGACAATACCAACTGATGGTTGACATTTACCCTTGCAGGTGGTTGATTAATACCACTAATTCCCCTTCCTGCAAAATATGCCATTGGTGGAACTGGTGTTGGCTGAAGCAGACTTCCCATCACTCTCCCTCTCTGTATATGATTCATCTAATTAAAATATGTTATAAGTTAAAAAAAAAAAAAAAAAAAAAGACAACCAAGGCTATACCAGCTGATGGTTAACGTTCATCCTTGCAGGTGGTAGACTCATATTACTAACTCCCCTTCCTGCAGAATATGCCGTTGGTGGAACTGGTGTTGGTTGACTCAGATTTCCCATCCCCCTCCCTCTCTGTATATGATTCATTCAATTATAATATGTGAAAAAAAAACTTGAAAAAAGAAAAAAAAAAAAAAGAAAAAGAACAAACTAAAAAAATAATTATACTTGTTGCTGGGTCACATTGACCCCAACATGTGGCTAACTCATACTACTGACTCCAATTCCCTTTCCTCTCCCTCTCTTTATATGATTCATTTAAAAAAAAAAAAATAGGTTATACGCAAACAAACAAATAAATAAAAACTGAACAAAGGGAAAAATAATAATTAAAAAAAAAACTATACATGTTGCTGGTTCGCATTGACACCAATTTACATTCCTCTCCCACTCTTTATATGATTCATTGAAACAAATAAAAAAGGTTATAAGCTGAAAAATACAACCTAAAAAATAAAAAATAATAATAATAATAATTATTATTATTATTATACCTACTGCTGGTTCACATTGACTCCAACCTGTGGTTGACTCATACTATTTACTCTCATTCCCATTCCCATCCCTCTCTTTATATGATTCATTCCAAAAAAATAAAATATTAATAAATAAAATAAAATTATAAGCTAAAAAAAACCCGCAGAGAATAAAAATAACTAAACAAAATAATTATACCTATTGTCGGGTCATATCGACTCCCCTTCCAATTCCCCTCCCTCTCTATATATGATTAATTTAAATACTTTATGAAATTAACTAAAATAATGAGCTCTAAAAACAATCAATAAAAGTATACCTGCTGCTCATTCATACATGAACGGTCTGCAGTTGCTTAACTACTTTGAGTGTCGCTGTTTCTTCTAACTTGTGGCTGACACAACAGAAGTTATAGAACAAGTTAAATAAAATAAGATTTCATATAATTTATTGAAATAAAACAAGCAATAGAACATGGAATACCTGCTGCTTGTGGTTAACATTGGCCTGTGTGCTACACCCTTTATTTCTCACTTCTGCTATTTGACATGTCCTCCTATTATGCCCAAATGCGTTACATATCTTATATCTCACAGTTAGAGACCTTCTCACCTCACTAACGTCTGCAGTTAGTTCATCAACTTCTCTTCTTCTGTTCTTTCTAGGTCTGCCAAGTAACCTTCTCAAAGTTGGAGGATCTACTCGTTCAGCCTTAGTAGATGGCCATAATTGTTGATCAACAATTGGATGGATCATGTTTTCATAAGCAACCAAGTACTGCCTATTGGTGTAGCATGAATCATAGAACCTCTCTGTAATACCCCTAATTTTAAAAGGATAGTCTCGGTATTTATTTATTTGTTTTAATTGTAAATTAAATGTTTTCTTTTCTTTTATTATTTTATTTTATTTTTCTTTTATAGTTATGTTTAGTAGTAATGGGCCAACCAATTGGGTCCCATGGACTACTTGGATAGGAGGTTGGATGTGTATGGATTATTACCCATGGATAATGTATGTATATATATAGATATATATTATATACATATATAAAAAGGAAAGTAATTTATTAATTATTTTTATGGTAACTTGGGTAGTAATATTTAATCTGATGTATATGTTTTATATTTAAATAATAAAAATATACATAGATTTGATACGTATTATGTTTTAAGTTACTTTATAATATTATGGTAACTTAAGTATTATTGGATAATCCATTAATAAATAATGGAATGTGTATAATTTATTTATTTAATAAACATATACATAAATTATATACGTAACATATTTTACTTACCTTTTTAATATATATATAAAAGAGAAAATAATTTATTAATTACTTTTACGGTAATTTGGGTAGTAATATTTAATCTGATGTATATGTTTATTTAAATAATAAAAATATACATATATTTGATACGTGTTTTGTTTTAAGTTATTTTATGATATTATGGTAACTTAAATATTATTGGATAATCCATTAATAAATAATGGAATGTGTATAATTTATTTATTTAATAAACATATACATAAATTATATACGTAACATATTTTGCTTACCTTTTTAATATTTTTATTTTCATTTTTTTTTTTAGTTGACTTGGATTGGGAAAAGGGTTAGGGTTATTTTATTTAGCCTATAAATATATAACTATAGGTTGTAAAAGGAGGTTAGAAATATTCACGTGATATATACTGGAAAGATAGTGTTAGAGAGGGAAAGAGGAAAAGGAAGGAATAAGGAGAAAAACCCTATAGAGAGAAGATCAAGGAAGAAGAAATTTAACTTTCGATCCGAAAGTTTAAGGCAAGTTCTTCTTCTAT